GCATGTCCTGAGTCCTTGCTTGGTTTTCACCTTCTGTAGGACAGCATTTAACCAGCTCTTTGTCTGTTTTTCTGTAGCCTTTTGCAGAAGAGGACAACAACCAAAATTACCACCACCTCTGGATGCAGTCCAGCAGCAATCCTGGCCGGGGAAGAAGCACATGCACATCAGGTGGCTCTGGATGCAGTCCAGCAGTAATCCTGGCCGGGGAAGAAGCACATGCACATCAGGTGGGAAATAAAGAACATTGGAACACACAGGCTTTGAACTTAGTAGCGGCGAGGGCTCTGTTTTCCATGCTGGAAAGTGACCTCCAACCCAGCACAGATGTACCGCCTAGAGGTGTGTGCACCAGCCACACAGGGGCAAGATGCCCCCTTTCCACAGTGTGGACAGGAGAAAACAAATGGCGATCAGGGTCTGCGTTAGAGGCAGTTTACGGCTCCCCAAATGTGGGGTGGCCCGGACGTTTCCCAGCTATGAGGAATTGGCTGGTCAGAATGTTGTTGTCTTCTACTGGCAATGCTTTGAGTGGCTCTTGAGGACTGGCGAGCTTGGCTGGATAACTCCAAGGCCAGGATGAAAGCCTGGGGGAACCAAGGAGGGATGGCGCTACCTTGACGTCCCTGTAGATGCTAGGGGCTGTCTCTTGCAGAAGGTAAGCCTCCGTTTTTCTTGCATTGCTACTACCTACCCACACCTGCTCCTAGGTGAATCCCTTCCACCAATCCCTAAATCCCCAGGAATTGTCCAGACACATGACACCTCGTGCTCTTAGGAAAGGTGGGTCTTTGCAGTGGGGAGCAGGGCAGACAAGACAGAGCCTGGAGCTACAGGTTGCATCTGGAGAGCAGAAGACTTAGGGGAGGGGGTAGAGATGCAAAGCAACGGATGCAAATCAGAGAGTGATGGGCGTGAGGAATCGTGCTGCTCTGGCAATTCCCATCATACACATACAACTCTTTGGGGACTCTCTGGCCTGTGGCTCAGCTTCTCCTGTGTCGGTGGGAGGGGCATTTGTTGGATCTAGGATCTTGGCTTTCAGGCCCCTCTCTCTGCCACAAGGTGGCAGCCCATTGGCAGTGGGAGCAGGAGTTAAGGCTCCCGAGACTGGATTTGGAATGGGATGGAGGGAGCAGGATTTTAGACGTCCCAGCCAATGGGAAGGAAGTATGAGCTAGACCGTGTGCCAGCTTTCTGTCGCGGGGTGAATGTCACCCAGGAGTTCCCAGTAAGCTGTGTGCTTGGGCGGCCACCCAGGAGAGATTCAGGTGAGGCCCAGCTGATTCGCAGAGTTTTGTGTTTCTCTGAGTGATGCACATTTGCCCATGCCTTGGTGCACATAAAATTATTCTGCACCAGGATGGAAAAGATTAGAGCGAACATTTCCTGGGAGAACTCCAGGCTGGAAAAGATTAGAGCGAACATTTCCTGGGAGAACTCGCTGTTGTTATTAATTGTTTCATCAGGGGGCCTTCACGTCCTAGTTCTGGACCAGGATTTCATTGTACGAGGTGCTGTACAAACTCCTGAACGCATAGACTGTTCCTGCCCCCCCAAAACTTACAGTCGAAACATAAACTAAGCAACAGGCGGAGACAGTCTGACAGAGGTGTACAAGGACACAATGAGACAGTGTTGGTCTAGGTGACAGGTGGTCATCTTCATCTGCGGCCTGACCAAGTGTTTTTCAGCATCCAGACAAAAGAGAGACCTGAAAGAGGGTGAGAAGGGCTGGCTGGAAGCAAGAATTCCAGGTGGTGGAAAATGTCTAGATTTCGAGATTTTTTGTTGTTGTTGTGCGTTGGAACAAAAAGTAGCCTTGTTCAGAGAGCCTGAGCCTCACCCACTCCAGACCAGCCAATAGCTTTACGGTCAGAGCAGTTGCCGCCGCTCGGACCTGCGAGACCCTGGTTCAAGTCTTTTTGCTGACTCCATCCCAGCTGAGTGTCCTGGGTTCTAGACTGGTTCTCTCCTGTTCCATTTTATCATTAATGATTCATCGGGCAGAGAGAGAAATTCCATCCTGGACCCAAAAAACCGTCCCAACAGAATCTGCATTCCAACGGAGACGTTTCTGCAGATAATACCAAGCTGGGAGAGGTTGCGACTGCTCTGGAGGACAGGGTCATAATTCAAAATGATCTGGACAAATTGGAGAAATGATCTGTGGTCAACAGGATGAAGTTTAATAAAGAAAAATGCAAAGTGCTCCACTTAGGAGGGAACAATCAGTTTCACACATACAGAATGGGAAGCGACTGTCTGGGAAGGAGGACGGCAGAAAGGGATCTAGGGGTTATAGTGGACCACAAGCTGAATATGAGTCAGCAGTGTGATGCTGTTGCAAAAAAAGCAAACATGATTCTGGGCTGCATTAACAGGAGTGTTGTGAGCAAGACATGAGAAGTCATTCTTCCGCTCTACTCTGCGCTAGTTAGGCCTCAGCTGGAGTACTGTGTCCAGTTCTGGGTACCACATTTCAAGAAAGATGTGGAGAAATTGGAGAGGGTCCAGAGAAGAGCAACAAGAATGATTAAAGGTCTAGAGAACAGGACCTATGAAGGAAGGCTGAAAGAATTGAGTTTGTTTACTTTAGAAAAGAGAAGATTGAGGGGGGACATGATAGCTGTTTTCAGGTATCTAAAAGGGGGTCATAAGGCGGAGGGAGAAAATTTGTTCATCTTGGCCTCTGAGGATAGAACAAGAAGCAATGGGCTTAAACTGCAGCAAGGGAGGTTTAGGTTGGACATTAGGAAAAAGTTCCTAACTGTCAGGGTAGTCAAACACTGGAATAAATTGCCCAGGGAGGTTGTGGAATCTCCATCTCTGGAGATATTTAAGAGTAGGTTAGATAAATGTCTATCAGGGATGGTCTAGACAGTATTTGGTCCTGCCATGGGGGCAGGGGACTGGACTCGATGACCTCTCGAGGTCCCTTCCAGTCCTAGTATTCTATGATTCTATGAAAACCATTTCTGTTGTTTTTTGGTAAATTGGCATTTCCTGATGGAGAAAAAAAAGGGAAAAGCTCTTGGGGACCAGCTCTGCTAATGAATTGGTTTAGTTTATCAGCACGGGATGTTTGTTCAAAGGTACCATTTGAACCATTAGGGTCTGCAAAACTGGCCAGGAAATCTCCGACTCCCCACGAAATGGCTTATCTGGATATTTTAATGCTCCCTGTCAGAGGCAGGGATTAAAGAGGGAGTGGAAGGAGAATATTGATTTTAAAAAACAGTGCAGCCCATTTTCTGCAGAGTTTAAAAACAGGGTTGGGTTTCACGCTGCGAGCTGGGTTTGGTTCTCATTCCGTCTGAACTCAGGGAAAGGGTGAGCATGCATGACTGACAACCAGGGGCAGCCCTAGACTAGCTGCCAGCAACTGGCGCCCTAGGCAAACCATGCAATCAGCGCCCTCACCTCCAAACCCCTCGATGATATGGTGCCACCATTTGGCGTCCCATTTAACTTGGCGCCCTAGGTGACCGTCCAGTTCGCCTATATGGACGGGCCGCCCCGCAGCCTCTGGAGTGGAAATCGGGCTCTTATGAGGCAAAGGAGTGCCTCCCGGAGGCCTACTCTTCACTGTTATCCGCCATCTTTGAACATGGCCGCTGCTTGCCCTGGTTTCTACTCTGGTTTGGTCAGTGTGGGGGAGTGAATTCTCAGCGCTGCGCCTCAGTCAAGTCGGGTGTGGAGTGAGGTTAATTTTGCCCTACCTGTGAGGCTTGTTCAACAGACCACGAAGTTTGCTGTTCTCGGCTGAGGAAGGTCTAGACAAGGGCGAAGGATTGTTGTTTGATTTAGGGAAGAGGCTGTATGACGCCACCAGACCCACTCTTTAACTGCTTTGTTTATTAGCCTTTCACTGGGCTCCTGACCGTGGGTAGTCTGGCAGGAACTGCAGCCTCTGGGCCAAGTGTTTTCCATTTTGTCTTGCTGAATTGTCTCCAGTGCTGTTTCTTTGGGAGTCCGGGGTGGGGTTGGCTGCCAGCTTGCCTCTCCTACCCAGGGCACGGGCAGCCACTTTTGGGAACCAAGAACCTCTTCCTTTTCTAGATTGAATCCCTGGACACTGAGCGGAAAAGCACGTCCGTCTTGATCGAGCTAAGGAGCCTGACCACAGGCCCAGAGCTAACGATTCTCTTTGAAATTCCTTCCGGATCCATCCCAGCATTCCTTTCCTTTTCAGAGTACCCAGTGTCACTGCTTTTGCTTCCAAGTGATGGCAAAGCATCCTTAGTTCCTGTCTGGACCCCCAGAGTCTGTTTCCTGACGGATTCTGTTTAAAGATCTCACCTGAGTCTTGCCAGAACAGAGCTATGAATGGGATGCTGTAATGGGCAGGGCGAGTGCTGACCAGCACCCAGTGCTGAAGGGGTTAAACTCAGGTAGCTAGCAAAGGAGTTGGCCACGGGACTGGGAGAACCAATCGAGATAGAGGGACGAAATTTGGATTGGATATAGATTCCCCGCCTGCTTTCTTTGCGTGGGAGAGAGAAACCGGGAACTGAGAGCCACAGAATGATTTAAATCCAGATGGGACCAGCATGCCCCCAAGGAATTTGGGGCATGGGAGTGGACTGAACAAGAGAAAATTGGAAGTAAGTAAAGAGAAAAGTGGATCTAGTCGCAATCAGGGTATTTTTCTTTATTTAGTGGCTTGGTATGAACTGCTCTGTGTGAATCTCTGCCTCTCCCTGCCCCATTTACCATCTCGCATTGTGCCCAGAGACTTTTCTCTGTGTTCTAATTTGTTTTCCTTAGTTGCTCTGTAACATCTAGCAACCAAGTACGCTTTATCACGTTTCTCTTTTGTGATAATAATCACTTCTTTAAAGACTATATTATTGCCTCCGTATAAATCCATGGTACGTCCACATCTTGAATATTGCGTACAGATGTGGTCACCTCATCTGAAAAAAGACTTATTGGCATTGGAAAAGGTTCAGAAAAGGGGTTCAAAAATGATTAGGGGTTTGAAGAGAGATTAAAAAACTGGGTCTTTTCAGCTTAGAAAAGAGGAGATGAAGGGGGTCTATGATCGAGGTCTATAAAATAATGATTGGTGTGAAGAAAGTGAATAAGGAAAAGTTATTTACTTGGTCCCCTAACATAAGAGCTACAGGGCACCACATGAAATTCATAGGTAGCATGTTTAAAACAAACCAAAGGATGTTTTTCTTCACTCAGCGCACAGCCAACCTGCGGAACTCCTTGCCAGAGGATTTTGTGAAGATCAGGACTTTAACAGGGTTCCAAAAAGAGCTACCTACATTCATGGAGGTTTGGTCCATCAATGGCTATCAGCGGTGGTGGGTAGGGATGGTAACCCTAGCCTCTGTTTGTCAGAGGCTGGGAATGGATGATAGGGGAGGGATCTCTTGATGATTCCCTGTTCTGTTCATTGCCTCTGGGGCATCTGGCATTGGCCACTGTCAGAAGACAGGCTAATGGGCTAGAACCGCTAGATGGACCTTTGGTCTGACCCAGTGTGGCCGTTCTTATGTTCTTAAGTGAGTCATGTTGTGCTTTCCCATCACTCAAAAAAGATGAGATACCAACACACACACACACACACACACACACACACACACACACACACACCACCAGTCCAGCAGGGACTGTGAAGTGATGTCCCGCTGAAGTGCCACG